TTTGCGGTTACAAACGAGGATACCAATGAGATCATTGCACTTCATTTCACACTGCATTTTTGGGTCCTTTGCCTTGTCCACACTCCCAATGAGGCGAGATCGCTTTTGAGGTATTGAAAGTCCCTTCTTTTTCGAGTTCCTACCCATTGCGGTCCACAATCGACCGCATTTCCATTTAAGAGCTTGGGAATTTGGCTTTCTTCACGTTGAGCAGGAGCCTATTTCTTGTCAGGGCTAACGATGAAATCCAAGATAAGCTGTGAGCCAGCAGTGACCAAAAAAGGCAAGCCCCAGATAAACTTGGTGTATAAGAGCGCTTCGTAATGATGACTGAGCTGGATGGTCTGAAAGTGGAAAGGAAAGCAAGAGAAATCTTTGGGAAACGCTGAAATTAAGGCCTTAACCTTCAGTAAGGTCGGATGTGGTACGATGGCGAGACAGGGCGATCAAAGAAGACAAACACGCGCGAGAGCACGCTGATCTCTACATCAATCGTGGTGCAACGGGGGTCGATGGTTGCAGGCCCGTAAGGTGTAGCGCCCTAATCGCGCAATTTGTGCGATAAAGCTGGCACGATTTATGTATAGTAGCCACGGACCTCCCACAATTTCCCTCACGTATCCTTCCTACTAGTCGGGGTAATTCCGGGGCTCGCCTTCAAGTGGTTTTCCTAGTTCATCAAGTCAATTACAGGGATATGTAGTTAAGCGACATGAAGCTGAGGGAACGTTTAACCTACCGGCGTTGATGTTGTCTAAACGACCAGGCAAAGTCTACCTACAATAGGGCAAGAGGTTTTGTTTTGCACTCAACAAAAAGCGATGAGTCGAAGTGATGGATGGCCATTCTAAAGGTTCTCTGAAGGCATTGTGAGCCTCCTGCGCGATGTCGAATAACCCAGGACATATTTCAACGAGAGAATTGTGAGCCTGACAGAAAATGCCAATATCTTCCTCGGATCAACCTCGAACATGCTGTTTCACGAGGGTCAGTGAAGGCCATTACGGTCGCACGATTGTCGCAGCCGGGAGCCGCTACTTGTGTACGGGGGCTTCTGCCGAGTGTTTGCCGATGGGTGTCATGTTTAGGTGATGTAGAGGAGGAAGTGTTGGTGGTGGAGTACTTTGTGTATTTAGGGTAGGCTTGCGAGTGTTAAAGAGTGTTGGCTTCCCATTGACTTGAACCAATAGGTGAACGACGACGACAAGTCTCAGCAGGTCATATTTGCGCTCATCACCTTCCCATATACACACCTGGTCACAATGCTAATGAGTTGTGAATGTTGCGTGCGTGACAAGCTGCTAACAAGCGCCAACAATGACCGTATTTGAGCTGACACTAGGCTGCGGAACTGAGCCGGGCTCAGCTTTTTGGTCAAGAAGGTGGCTGACAGCCGGATTACGGAATGATTTCTAGCGAATCTATCCCGTTGGGGTAATGGGAGGCAAACGGCTTTCTTTTGATTAGCCCGATTCAAGCACGAAAATCCCTAACCCTGAAATAGTTCCAACCCAATTAACCGACCGCTAGCGCCACCCTCATGCCATCGCGTTACAGTATGCCGTCCAACCGCTTACACATACCTCAGACAATTACTTCTACAATTACTTGTAGTATACAATTCGTGCCAGAATGTAACCTAAACACTCTTGAAAGCCACGTACCGTTTCCTCCTAGGAGTATCTGTAGATCCTTGGCTTCCTTCTCTTCCTGGCTCTGCTGGCGTCGTAGTGCTACCTAAATTGATACACTAATAGCATCAGAAAGGGTGATAAGAGTTGGAGACAAACCTGAGCAGCCATCACTCGTTGTCGTTCAGCTATCAACGTACACTTCGCGCACATGCAATCCTTCCATTTACAGTAACGTTTATGGCCTGAAAGTATCCGCGGTTTGATTTAGCAGCCTATAATTCCATTCATATTCCCACTTCCATCCTATTTGTTCTGTTCGGTGATTGCTTGAAACGTTGATTATAGTCTTTCAATACCCTTAACTATAGAGATCGTACTTAAAAGACTGCGAAAGAAATAAAACAGTTTGTATAGGATTTTAGAAACAAGCCCATTTTCCCTATTGCTTATTTTCCAGCCGTTTTTCGGCCTGACCTACTTGCGATGTTTACTAGTCACTGGTGTACTGTTAAAGCATCCAACGTCGCCACCACCAAACCACTCCGCCACCGCCCCCCCCCCTCCCTATGGTTTTGATCAAGTGGGCGGCTGACAGGTAGGGAAACTTGTGAAGTTTTCAAGCGGGTCCATCACGGTTCTGTCAAGGAGAGGTCGGTTAGTGTGTCCCAGACTTAAATGCGGATAGAACTCCAACGATACTGTCTACCTTAAGGCAGAGCAAGGCAAATGTATCATCATTAGACCCCAGCAGGTCCATTTGCGTACTCCAAATCCATTCAAAGTAAAACGTTCCAAATGTGAGCAAACACTTAGGCTTGAGACTAAGGGATATCAGGGTAGCGTCAAAAGTGTTTTCTCCCAATATGATTTCAAGCGCAATTATCTTTCTCGCTTTAGCAACGCCCACCAAGATTGAATACGATTTTTTCTGGTGTTTATCCATATTCTCAAGTCCTAAAGAATAAATATTCGAAAGAAAAAATTTTTTCCAGAGGCCCGTTTTCTGGCGAAAAATTGCGTCTCGTTAATTAATGTGAAAGACGAAATCGCATTCTGGCGTATGTACCTTTCAAAATTTCTAGAAAGAATTTATCATACGTCGAATTTTTTCCTAATCTTATGATTTATATAAAAGACCTGGTTTGAAAATGCTTCTGAGAACGTTCACCAAATTCCAGACGGAACTTCTCCGGAGGTCGAGCGTTGCTAATGCTCGTTACCCCACAATGGCAGGGTGCTTCTTCTGCACGCCCTTTGTGAAGATAAAAAGCGCATTCAGCCGTTAATAACTCCTTTTCGAGTGCGCTATCTTTGATTCAATTCAGAACGAACTGAATTCTACGACGATCAAATTACTGTGAAGCCTACGATCAGCGTGAGCCTAAATTTCTATTGTCGCAAATCGGGGTATGAACACAAACTTTCGTCCGAGGACCCACACCTCTTGCTGCCCCACCAATCAGGTCCGCTACGTAAGAATCTACTGCTATCTGATATTGGCGTTTTACTCTCAAGCAATAAAAATTGAACAGACTGTGAGTGAGTGGAACTTGGCGAGACTCTGGCTAACGTCCAATAAATCTTTCTAATAAGGTAAAAATCATACAGGAGAGATTCCAGACATCCACTTTCCTATCCAGTCGCTTGTAACCTATCAGTTCCACCACACCTCCTTCGCAGAAAAAAGAAAATGATCAATTAATCGACTTCTACTTACAGTAATATAGTCCCATTTCCTGACAGATGCTCAGCTCCAGATATGTATCTACTCAGCTCGTTTTTTGCTCGTTTTTTATTACCGTGATTATCGTAAAACTGGAGGAGGTGGAAAGCAACCGCTCAGCCCCAAAACACCATATATACACTCGCTTGATCTTTAATATGGAAATTGAAGAGCATTTACGTGTGGCGTAGCCTGTCGGGACCGAAGCTCCCAGACATCCGAGAAGCGCCTATGCTTTCAATGAATCTGACTTACTCACCCTTGAGAGCTGACACAGTGCCGTGGTTTCGACATCGAGCACATTTAGGAGTTCGCTGATTCCGTTCGTGACGTAGTCTGAGGATTTGTTCGAGACTGGATGGAGCTAGACCACCAACATTGGATGGCGTGTTAGGAGAGGACATTGCCTGGAAACAGCCATCGTTTTCGCATGACGACATCGTCTGAAAGAGAAGTTGCTATCTGAAGAAGAAGGAAATTTGAGGAAAGGGAACGATACAGTAGTAGACACTAAGCTGCTAGCCGATTCATTACCATAGTCGCCATTCGACTCATCTCGCTCCGCCCATTCGAGATTAGCCAATGAGGCCGGTGACACGCCTCCGGGAGATCTTCGGGAGGTCAGCTAACCGATTAGTCGTAGACTGTAAGAAAGTGAATGAATACTGTAGACTCTACCAGTAATAGAAAAGTCACTTTTCGGGCCTCAAGTCGCGATACAACACACAGCTACCAATTCGTGAGGCTATGCCACTTCATTTTTGTTCGGAGCGATTATTTACAAGTCCTTTTAAAATGCTCAGTTTTAGAAACTGTTTACAAATAAATAATATGGAATAACGACATGGAATGAATTTCCTTATTTGTTGTTTATTTGAGAACGACCTGAGAACGATTCTTGAAGAAAATGCACAGAGTACATGAAAGAAAGAAAACAATTCAAAACAGTGGGTAACAGTTGGACTCAGGCCAAAAGTCGGTAAGGTAGACAGAGAAAAACCATTAAATCACATGCTAATAATGTCGGCGGCCCAACGCTACCTGAACATTTAAAGACTGGCGAATCGCTCCGTGAACTATGACGCGTATCAGTAAGAGGAGATGCACGTAGGAAAACGGGTAAAAGCCCAAAACAGCAGCACAACTCTGGAACTCATGCCCAACTGTCTGCGAACTCGTGCCCAACATTGAAGACGATGGCGCTAGTCCAGGAAATCGTACTGCAAAGCTCTCAACAGGCACTACCATGAATAGGATATGATGACCTGCGTCACAGTATGGTCATAGGAACTTGTTGAGACTTTAAGACATTTGTTTGACGGTCACCAAGATTGACTTCATGACTTGAACTTGTAAGTACCTTTGATAGCCTACCATATTTTGGCGAGTTCTGTAAAAACTCAACGAACCTGTGGAGAAATCTTAAGGCGAAGGCAGGTTATCATCCAAGGTATGCCACATGCCGAGGAAAAGGAATCGGCGTGACAGTCATGACTGCAGTCCCAACGATTCACCTGTTCCAAGTTCTGCTTACTCCGCTTATATTAGCGGTTCCTCAAAAAGCCTTGACGGGATTGAAGGGGTGGGGGGCGGGGAGGTTGAGAGACGAGCGATGAAATTTCCGTATATTTTAAATTTTGCTTGATTAAAACTCTGAATTCCCATATCCCTGTAAATTCTCACCCCCACGCTTTCCACAAATGCGTTGATTGAACATCCTTTCTCACCTTAGCAAGACCCTATTGGGACCTCGCTCGTTGCTCACTTGTTGCTGGCAGTGGAACTGTCACCATTTCCAACTGTCTTACAGCTGCTCGGTCCAGTTTCGCAGAACCCATCGAAGAATTGCTGTTTCGAGGCCTCAAGGGCGGAGATCAAAAAATGAATGTGCTAGAGACTTTTGATTACTGGTTTCCACAAGGAATATCTGAAGAACGAGAACAAACCACCTGACCTAAACCGGCAAAGTCAACTTCGCCTTTTTCTACACTAGCTAATAACTACAACCAGAATTCTTTATTATCAATTTAAATATGCTCTGAATTGCCGAGCAAGCTGTTGGCGCTCACGTCCTCAGGAAGACATTGACTGAGCTGGACGCTCATTAGAACTCAGGACAAGGCTTCAGGAAAGCTGGAAGGATTCGTCGAAGAGAGGATGTGAGCAACCATTGTTCTCCCTGGTGTTTATTGCCAATCCTGGGCTTGGTCCGACTGTCACCTACCAGCGCTTTTATGCCCTGTTCTGAATGTCTTCCTAACAGAGAGAGGCGTGCGTTTTTCGCCGCGGGTCGCCTGCCAAAAGTTTCATAGAATTGAGATGGGAAACTCATTGAAGGATGGGGATGGTTTAACAGGGTGCGGGAGAAATGTAGGTAGGTTGGAGGATCGTTCAAGGAGTGCGACGGATTCTGGTAAAATAACTCGGGTAGCTTTTGTCTTTATAAAGATAGTCTTTGCGGTTATTTTTATTTTATTATTATGCTGTGATTGTAGCTTTTATTACGTTTTGTGTCTCACTTGAGGTTTTGATCGTTTGTGTGACTTCGCTCATTGTAATAAGCCTTGCTATGTACTTGTAGGCGTGATGATTGACAGTTTATGGAAAACAACGAATAGCAACTACCGGAGAGGGGGTTTTCTGGACGCCTGAATTTTTCTCGCGAAACTTCTAAGCCAGTCATCTGATTCAAGAATAAAACCACCATCGACTGAAATTCAAGCGTCAGGTTTAAAACGCTTACGAACATAAACATTATCAATAATTGACGAGACCATCTGAAGAACACAACAGTCTCTTTTTCACTTTACATAGGAGTAAATTACTCGCTAAATACTACTATTAATATCTGTTCCCCTCTGGTTATAATTATAGCGAGCGACGCTCGCTAATGAGTCAGCCTCAGGTAATTTGATAAATTTCATGAAAATGAAGCGGAAAATTCAGAGGAACTCAATAGTCCTCTATACCGTTGGATTCTTCGTGAGCAGAGCTATCCAGTGGTATAACTTTCGAATGACCTAATCCATTTTTCACGAGTTATGGCGAGGCGACGGTTGCGACGGACTGACTGCGTCGCATTTCGTCGATTGAACAAAAATTAGTAGCGGTATTGTAGAGCATATGAAGGTACAGATCCGCGGAAGTGAAGGCTCATCGTTTACTCAGTTACTGGACTAGCCATAGATGGCGGTGCAGATTCGAAGACGTCGGAGCGGTTTTCAAAGCAGGGCTTCGTAGCCTCGGAAACTGCAATTATTATAAAATATCGTGAATATTTTAGTAGTGCATTATACAGAACTATTGAAAACACATTGCACGTGTAATTCATCGAGCTATGCCATAAAACAAAACAAATTGCGCAAGTTGAACTTTCAAGCTTGCCGAATTAACTGTCCACTGATTTAAACTTTGATTGTCATTCTTGGTGTGCCTGAAGTCGATGTCACTAACATTCAAAATATATAAATCAATCACATCAAAATAGATCAAACTCAAATAGAACCATTCTTGAGGTGGGCAGAAAAGCACACTTAAAAGACTTCAGGCACTCTCATCTTAGAGCCTCGGCATGTTCGCTTTTATTTTTTATGCTTCTGCCACGCAAATTGTAGGTGGAATCTTCATCGCGGCCAGCCGACCTTCATGTCGTTTTCAAAGGCCTCAGAATCCACCGCTGGAGTTTAGAGCTAAACTCGGTTAGTACATTAGTAGCGAATAGTAAGATTAGGTACTAAACGAGTGCAGCCCTACACTCCAACGATGGATTACGAGGCCTCCGGAAACAACGTGAAGGTCGAAACGTTGGCCGCAAAAGATTTCATCTGCAAACCTCGTGGAAGAAATATAAAGTACACTTGAGGGATTGCCACTACAGGTATGAAGCAGCTCACTTCGACCAAACAGCTCCACGGTACGCCGTGCACATGAATAAATCTCAAAATCGCCGTTTTATATTGTATGTATATTTACATCTCATTCTCAATGATCTTAAATAAACCAAACATTTGACACAGGCTCTGTGGCTCAAAAGATAAAAGGAAAAGATAGAAATTCTGAAGTGATTCCAAGATGCACATTATATTGTTTCACAAGAATGCTGGGTTGTGAACAAAACTTTCGCCCCAGGACGGGACTAGAACCCGCACCTCTCGCTTTCCGGGCAAGTGCGCTACCAGTTACGCTACCGGGCACCATTTCATTCCAACTCAGCTTTTCATGGTATACGTACCATAGCTTTCAGCACTCACACGTCTAACGTGTTGAGCCGGTTAGCCGATATCGGCAATGACCGCGAGGCTGAAAGCTTTAGCAATGAATTTTGACTTGTTTTGTTTGTTAACTGCTGTTTTTACGCCGCAGTTCGCCTTGCGAATGTTTCACAAGACAAGAATTATAATTAACATTATATTGTCTTCAAATTTGAGCGGAGCGTTAAAATGCGTGGCTCCCACCTGAACTTCTTATATGTACGCTATACGAAGTTAAACTTTTGCAAAACTTTTGCAAACACTCATTTTTGCAATCTCTTTTGTAGAAAGTTTTGAGTCTTTTGCAATAAATTTTGAAGTCTCACATTGTTTAATACACATTTAGATATTAGTACATCTCATTCGAACATGTGGAAGATCTTGATTAGTAAAATAATCAGCAGAAAAACTCAAAAGCC